ATATATATATAATTAAACTTTTAATATTATAAAAGTATAAGGGTTGAATTTTAAACTTTTAAAATTCTAAGGTTCAATTTGGAATTAAAGTATTTAATGTGTGAGACTTTTCAAATTCCAAACTTGAGTGCAAGTGTTGAAACTATTCAAGACTTTTCATTTCATAACTTATGAGTTTTAATGGTCCATTAAAATGAAGACTCTTCATTTTATGTAACATCTTATTCTTTAATGACACTTTTAAAGAAGTGACTTTTGGTTATCCATAACTTGAGGACAAGTTATGGACTCCATCATTAGCCATTAAGATCAAGAATTATACTACAAGCAAATTACACATAATTCCTACGATCTTCTAAAACTCATAAGAACATGAACATTCATATCAAAATTTCAAGAATCATACTAACACATATAAAACATGGAATTTTGATATTAGCCATTGTAAATGGATTAGCATAAACATTACCCCATCTAAAATAAGTTTTAAAACACCAAAACAGTTTAGGGTAATGTTTCTAGTCCATTCCAGCAGCAAAACTCAAAAAACTGCATTCTGGGGCTCCTACTCGTCGAGTGCAAGAACCTACTCGATGAGTAGGATGAGTTTTCACATGGACTCGGCGAGTTCATGCTGCAGAGTGCAGATTTTTGAGCTTTTTCAACAAGTTTGCATCAAGTGTCAAGAAAACAAGCCTAGGCTCTGATACCACTGTTGGGTTTTGAACATTCTAACACTCCTATGGTGTACATGCAACCCTAGAAACCTTGGATCTATGTTTTCTCTAAAATACATGCAAATTTGATTTCCAAGGTTTACAACCTAACTAGCATGTTATGGGGTACTTGTAATACAAAACTTTAAGTAGAATAACATACCTTTCTTTTGTGGTTGATTGCTTGGAGTTTTAGAGCCTAGCACCAATAGTGCGGATGCCTCAAGTGGTGTCACAAATAACCCAAAACAACTTGGAAATACTTGAGAGAATATGATGCTTGCTAGAATCGGCCCACCCTTGTTTCCCACACACACTAGTGCCAATTCTAGAACCAAGGACCTCTTTATATACTATGGTGGATTAGGGTTACACCCTAATACCCATGACTCTTCATTTACCTAGGATCCATGGGTTAAAAGCTCCATGGACTATCCATGGACTTCCATATACTCTTAGCCCATCCTAAATAAATCTTAGCCCATTCCATATATATGTAAGAGTCCATATTTAATTAGTTCCATTTGATCAATTCTTGATCAACACTAATTAAATAATATTAATATAATATATTAATGGATCATAAACATCTTATTCTCAAAAATATATCCATACAAATTGTTAGGTGAAGTGCAACCCAAATGGACCATGCCGGGTCGGTTCAAGTCATACCAAATATAGTTACGGACTTAGACACCTTATCCAACAGTTAGTTACCGAGTAATCCAAAGAGAAAAGAGAATGATTTCCCCGTAAATTTTATAACGATAATTCTTCTAAGTGAGTCGTTATAACCATACTAGATAATGACAATTTCGGCTGTCATGGAGTTGGTGGACGCCGACGGAATAGAATAAGGTTTTTGTCACCCTAGACTGGCCTTGTCTAACTGTAGCGAACAACTCAGGTGTGGGGTGTCATCCCCGTATAGATCTATACACAAACCCTCGCTCTCCCTCAAAGAGACTCTGGTTATAACTATAGGCTACGATCGTACACTCAATAGGTGTCAACCGACACGTCTCACTTGATCCTTAATCGAATTTACGCGAAAAGAAACATATAAAGTACATTACAGGCCCACTAAACATGTAAGTGGACAACTAAGGCCCACTAAACACGTAAAAGGACACTAAGGCCCACTAAACATGCAAAAGGACACCTAGGCCCACTAAGCATGTAAAAGGACACTAAGGCCCACTAAACGTGTAAAAGGACACTAAGACCCACTAAACATGCAAAAGGACACTAAGGCCCACTAAGCATGTAAAAGGACACTAAAGCCCACTAAACATGTATATTATTTCCAGGCCCAATAAGGAATTATATATATATATATATATATATATATATATATATATATATATATATATATATATATAATACATATAAGTTAACATGTCTAGATGTTTTAAAAGTATATATAAGTTATACAAACTTACATCTAACAGATGTATAAGAGCTTTTAGCATGATAAAAATAATTTATTGTTTTTGACCTTTCTGTCCCTGTTTTTAGAAAAATTATAGAAAAATCATCGTAAGTCGAAATTTGGATCCGTAAACTCTGAGAGTTTGGAAAATGACTTTGTTCAGAATTTTTATTATAATTTTTAATAGCCTCAAACCAGTGTGAAAATGTTCATCTTCACCGACTGGTCCGAAATCATTCCGGAAATGATAGGCAGTTTTGTAAAAATCGCCAAAAATTGTAGACAAATTGTATGAACGCGTGAGAGTAGTCATTTTAAATGTATAAACCTGAGCTTTTTGCATGTAAAAAAAATTATAATTAAGGTGGTCAAAACAGTCCGTAATTAGACCAAAACGTTTCTGTTAAAAGCTGATTTTTGAGTTTAGGTTATACATGTTTGAACACCACACTCATTTTTGCTATTTTGAGTGTATAATCCCATATCTACAAGTTTATATGTAATATATATGACAACACATACTTTTCTCGTGGTTTTTATGAAGATCTAAGTGATAAACTTCATGTTCAAGTAAAGATCTAAAAGTTAAACACATAACACAATGGTACATGCAAATATCCAACGGTTAAACGAGAGTTGACTTGTATCCTCCCCCCGAAAACATGAAAAATACGAAAGATATGGGGGTATGAAGCTCAGCTTGAGGATTTTCGAGATGTAGATGAAGAAGAAAAAGAATCTTTGAACCTAGCTTGAGTTTTTGATGAGATCTTCGAAGTTGTGAGGGTTTTAAGGAGTTTATCACACAACAAAGTGTGTAAATTGAATGTTCTAAGCATAAACATGAAGCAAAAATACTTGAGTTAAACATAGAACTTACCAAATTATGAAACTTGAAGAGAAACTTCTTGTAACACACATACAAACCACGAATTTTGAAGAAAAGGATGAGAGAGTTTTTGGGTGATGAGAGAAAATATGTTGGAGATGAAGTTTGGGAATGGGTGGAGAGGGAGGGAGTGGCCGAGAAATGAAGATGAGAGAAGAGAGGGGTTAAGCATTGATGTTTGTGGGACAATAACCTCCTAGATGCATGAGATTGCATTGTTATATGGGGGTTAAATGTCTAGAAATATGATGGTTAAAAGTGTGTTGTCATGCTTAGGTTAAATCTTCATTTTTTTTAATTATTCCAAACCCTAACCGGCCCAAGGTTGGCCCAAAAAAATATATTTGTGGGCTTTGATTTGGCTTGGCCCAATGAGGAATCTTGGCCCATTGATGCTTAATAGGGTTTTAGGTTCAAAGGGCCCAAAATAGGAGGTTTCGGCCCAATGAGGCCTAAGGAAAGGTTTTCGGCCCAATGTGATTAAATAAGTGGGTATTCGGCCCAATAATGTTCTAGGGAAGGTATTGGCCCAATTAAGGGGGTTTGGGTCGAAAATTCTTGGGCTAAGGCCCAAAAATGATTGGATTTGACTTATTGGGTCGAGTTTTTGGATCTTCACGTGGTTGCTTCGACTTGTACGCAAGTATGAACTTAATATCGTTGACGTTTGAATTTCACTAAATGAAATTTTACAAGATTACACAAAGAGTTTTTCTTGTACAAGGGCCAACTTCCTAACCCAAATTTGCTAGTTGTGACACTTCTAGCCCATTATCTTCCATTGTCCTCCAAGTCCATTTGATTCCTAAAGATCCCGATCCTCTAGTCTCCTTAAAATCTGCAATTACGCTCATGAAACTAGAAAGTACCTGAAATAGTCATAAAATAACAAAAGGGAAAAATCCATGAATATTAACTAAATTATGAATGAAATATGCTAAAATAAACTATAAAAAGAGATAAATAAAATGAAATTATCAGGTATATTTGGGGAACTCACTAAGCTTTGGCTTAAATTTGTTGGTTTCATTGTTTTAGGTACATTAGATGATCGTGGCAAGGCGAATGCATGATCGTACACATCCTCCTACTGATATATGTTTTGAGAGATTTTTGATACTCTGATTTTATGGATTTGTTATGAAAACAATGGTTTATTATATCATGGTTTGTGAAAAATGGTTTACAAAAATGAAATTTTTTTTCATGATTTTTGGGATGTTACAATAAATTAGGATAAAATACAAAATAGATAATCAGGAATTCCTCGGGAGTGGCCTCAGATCAATTAGTGAAAAATCAAAGGAATGTATATTGAGGTGGTGTGGACATGTCTAAAGGAAGCTACCAACGACAAGAATTAAAAGGGTGGATTCGCTTACAGTCAATGGAAAGAAGGAGAGTATGACCACGAAGGAAGTGTGAATATAGTGTGATCTTAGACATGAATACGTTGTCTCTTTACGAGGACATGACCTCGTATAGGAGTGTTGTAGTGAAGTAGCTTATGTCATTTATACATGTCTTATTCGTTATACCGTTTGCATAGTTGCTTCTCTACATAATATGCATAAGGCTATTTATGTGACACTATTACCCAAGTGGAGGCATGCATAACAACATCTACCTTCCTCCAACCTCTTTTAATTCATGGTCTGTTGTTGTTGTTATTGGGTGCGATGTTGCTATTATTGTTATTCTTGCATAGAATAACTCCAAAAACACTCATGGACATATAAACCGACATAGGGGAGTTAGATTGGTCTTGATTTTTCGTAGAGTTAAAGACCTACATTAGAATGAGTATATCGTAATACAAGTGTTTACACCAACCATTCAACTTTTTAGCTTGGGATATCATGTCTTATTTGCAAAACTTAATTATGAAGGTTGGCTGGGTAGCTGACCCTGTTAGTCCGTTCTTGCAAGAGGGGTCTATATTAACTAAGATTTCCTCCGCTTAATGGATAACCATTTGCTACCAATGGAGAATTGCTTCTCATCTTGTGGATAAAGAGTTGCAAAAACTTTAGGGGATGTTTTCTACAAGTTTACATGAAGTACAAGGGCCGTTTGTGTAACATCTGAAAATATTCACAATCTCACACAATTCGTCAGTGTACATATATGGGACTGTTTTCCGTGCGATTCTATTCTTGAACAAACCAAACGCCTACATTCACTCGCCGTCGGCCTTCACGGTTCGTCATCTATCTCTCTCATCTGTTACATGATTTTATTTTATTTGAATTCAGTGTTGTTGGTATACGATCGGCACTTTTTGTATTCCATAACTTGTGGATCTCAGTTTTGTCGATATTTCTGATACTCCTTGTTTATAGGTTGTTCTGAACTGATTTTTTTTGTCCGGAAAAATTCCGTGTTTTTTTTATCGATCTCTAATCGGAGATTTTAAGGTGTTTTTGTAGGGTAATTGATAGTCGATTGCGCTCACTGTGTTCGATTTCACCTTATGATTGTCCTTTTGCTTAGTGCTTTGTAGTTGATTGACTCTGATTTCAATTACATGTACAAAATTGATAAAAAATGAATTTACTGTTGAAGATCCAAATAAAACAACAAATCTAGAAACTAAATGCTTGTGCTTGATATAGCTTGCTGGTGTTAAATTGTAAGCTTCGTGTCAAATGAAACCCTAGGTTTTTTAGGGTTATCAGTGGTCCAGAAATTACGGGTTTTTTTTTTTTTTTTCACTTTTTCTCTAGATGAAAACGACTCTTTTTCTCTTGTTGATCCCATTGAAAACTGCAAGAATTTCCATTTTGAGATAATCCTACAGAAACTTCAAAATTACAATATTCGTATTATGGCATTCTACTTTCATTTTTTCCTATTATAGATTTGTACTTTATTTTTTTTTTCTTATTAGGACATTATACTTCAAAAAAAATTACCTATTTATAACATTCTACTTCTAATTTTTTTTCTTATCGGGACATTATACCTTGAAAGCTCTACCCAGTTATAGTAGTGAAAATTGTTTTTCATATAGATGACATTGCTATAAACATACTTCTCAAACTTAGTCATTTCAAGTCACAAGTGGAAAATTTACATTTTCGAGTCAATAAGCATCTTCATAATTTTGTTTTCTTTTTGTAATCCTTGAATTTTAAAAAAATTAATGATATATATATATATTTTTTGATTCCGATAATACCCTTGGGTAAATAGATGGATTGGCAAGGACAGAAGGTGGCAGAGCAATTGATGCAGATACTGCTGGTGGTATTTGCAGTTGCAGCATTTATAACAGGTTATGTTGTGGGTTCATTTCAACTGATGTTGTTTGTGTATGCTGGGGGAGTGGTGTTGACAACTTTGATTACAATTCCTAATTGGCCATTTTTTAACAAACATCCTCTCAAATGGTTGGATCCGAGTGAGGCTGAAAAGCATCCAAAACCACAGGTGGCTGTGACTTCGGTTTCAAAGAAGAAACCAACCAAGAAATAGGCTATGGCTATTTTATATCATAATTGGGTCAATTGAAATGAAATTTGTGTTTTTTTGGATTTGGAATGTGAGAAGTTTTATTCAGTTTTTAATGTTTAGCTTGATAAATAATATAATAGCTTTTATGCATCGGCAAAAGAAAATGGAAGAAAAATATTTTAAATGAGTAAGAGCAATTGAATTTGATCATCTTTAGTGCATTTTTTTCCCATACAATCACACTAAATTATTTTTCAATCTTTTCTAAATCTTAGACTATAAAATCTTTCATTTTTTTTTATTTGTCAAATCTTTGTATAATTTTGAAGAATGTGGGGCCCTCCACGAATTTGAATTTTTTAAATTTGCTTACTGGGCGTTTCCCCTCCAAATTTGGGTTAGATGTGTAATGGAAATAACAAATTATAATCCAAATTTCATGACCGGCTTCGCTTCAGAACCATGACTCTTTACAAATAGAAATGTTTATTTTATTTGATATGAAGTCTTGATTAATCTAATTTTTTTTTTATTAAAAACAATGGGTATTTGCTCCTGATGGGTAATAGTTCAAAAAAAAAATAAAAATTGAGAACCATAACTATCAACAGGTTCCAAATGGTTCCTTATATTAGGAATCAGTCACATCGATTTCAAAAATGGTAGTTGCATTTTTACGAATACCTGGTCCGGTGCTCACCGTTGGTTGTTGTGTAAGAGACATATTCATTACTCCAAAAAACATTTTTCCTAATTCCAGCAACCGGTCCAATTCCAACAATGTGTTTATAAAAAGAAAAATATGAAAGGGGTTTTCATGCATTTGAAGATAATACGTTGGGTTTTTATAAGACCATGTAGTTTAAGGTAATCGGCTATAAGAGGTTTACCGGTTACAAATTACATTGATCAGAACATTAAATGGTTTATTTATTATACATAATGGGTTTTTTGTGTATATTGACGGATAATCGTTAGGGGTTTCCCTATTAAATATATTATATTCTTATACAATGGGCGTGTTCGGCACAGAACGTTTGAGAGTGTCTAGCTTCTAGCGTTTGACAAAACGCTCCATTTTAAACAGAAAGTCTCGTTTGACACTACAAGCTTCTAACGTTTAGTTTAAACAAAACGCTCCAAATCCAAATGTTACTTCACGTAGCGTTTAACAAAACACTACAAGCTACAAGTTACCCGCTATCAACTATTTTTGCCGAACACTCCCAATATTTATAACAAGATTAATGTCGCTATTGCCCACAAACTATGGGTTTTTATTTCATTAAATCATCCAACTTTTTTTGTATTTGTATTTTAGGGTACTTAAAAGTATCAATTTATCGATTAAAAAGGAAACATCACTTTTGTTTCCAGTTTCACCGATACACTTTTGGGTGACGTGGCTTCATTTGGGCAAAAGTCCTCCACCTCATCTTCCACATGTTTTCTTTATTTTTTTTTAAAGTTACAAATCAACTTTATTATTATAAGAGTGAATTTTGATATAAGTGTTTATTAGATTATGTGGCTACAAAAGTTTCTAAAAAAGTACTTGGATTAACTCATACGAACAGCAAGAAGCAAGAAGTTCTAAGTTGATAAACCATTTTTTTAAGAAGTGTGGATAAAGTTAAGTCATTTTAGGTTAATAAGTTATAAAAATGTTTCAAAATTCGGGAGTGTGGCTTTTAAAAACTCATTTTTGAGGGTAGTAAAAAATTATTTTCAAAAGCGCTTTTCTATTTCTCCACAATTTTTTTTTTTTTTTTTTTTTTTTTTTTTTTACCTTATTAGGTTTTTGAAAAGCTAATAAGTATAATAAGAACTTTTCAAACTCAATCCCAAACACCCGTTAAAACTTTGAGAGATAGCAATCAACCTCGTTTAGGGTTTGTATCCCAACTTTATTTATCACCTCTTCTCTCCTTTCCAGCTTCAATGGCAACTCATAGTCAAAAAATGGAGAAACTTAATCGTGCGTCATATCCGGATTTCTTTTGTTGAAAATATAACTTGGATATAACAAGGATAAGAACGTGTGTGTTCTTTATGTTCTTCAACAAAACCCCATATCTATATGTAATAAAGGCTTGATGGGTTCTTCGTTTTAAGCAATTTATGAGTATCATGTTCTTTAACTAAGAAATAACAAGGATACTATGGTGCTGCAAATTGATGGATTTAAATTTGGGCTCCAATGATTATGTTTTTGATGGGTTTAAAATTTGTGTTTGGGTGCTATGAATTGATGTGTTTAAAATATGGGTTTGATTTTTGGGTTTATTTAGCATCAATTTTCTTTTGTTGATTTATTCTGGCTTAAAAATCCATGGTGGTGGTGGTCGAGAGAGATAGACAACGGTGGTGGTGTTAGTGGGAGGTAGACGGTGGTTCTATTTAAGAAGATGGACTAGTCTTGGACTTAATCTTCTATAAATGTTATTCATGTAAATTAATAATAATCATAATTTTAAAATTTTATTAATAATAAGTACTTTAAATTCTAAAATAGAAACACACGTGATGGACATCATGTTAGCACCCACATGAGTACTTAAATGACATGTGATATGATGAGTACTTAAATGACACGTAAACCTGGTAACCAAATGACCCCTTAACATTAGTCAAAATGTTTTTTTACATCAATTTGTAACATGCCCCATAATCAGACGGCCCTTTAACATGTCAAAATGGTTTTTTTTTTGACATTAGTTTTGAAAGTTTAGAGAGTTAGATTGCAAAATAAAAAGTAAAAAAATAAAAATAATGACCAGATAAGATCAAAATAGCTTATTGGACAACAATAACATTAACCTTTTGTAATAAACCATTATCAAAGTGATGGTATAATAACCATTTTGAATTAAGCATTCCAAATGGAAATGCACAACCAAAACCAAAATGGCTGCTGTGTTAGTGTAGAGTGTTCGACTGTCATTAGTTAAATAACTAAAAGTAGAATATTTTGAAAATATCATTACCTAACAGTAGACAAAAATAAGTTCAATGACCAACTAAAAGTGGAGAAATTGAATAGTATGTTAGTCATTTTTAACCTTTTCCCTTCTTTTTTTTTTTTTTTTTTCCGAACGCTTATTTGCAAGTTTTTTACATTCTCCAAACCAAGATGATGCCTCCTCAAGGATCCATAACTATTTCCTTCTTCCAAAAGTAGCAACAATCAAAGCTATTTAGTATTTACAATGACTAGCGAGCTACTGGTTTTCATTCTTCATTGCTTGTATAATGGGATCATCATCATCATCATCATCATCATCATCATCATCATCATCATCAAGTTCCTCCTCTATGTCATCTAGTAATGATTGATTCATCTTCTTACGTGATTGTCTCCTATGTTTTTTTGGCTCTAGTCGTGGTTCTGCTTGTTTCACCCCCATATCTCCCATTTTGTATCTGATTTTCCCATATTTCACCACCAATTCAAATTTCAAACTCAAATAAATAATACACAAATACTTAACTAATTTCTGTAATCATTAAAATACGGAAAACCATAATATGTATTTTCTGCCACTATATCAGTTTAGCTGTTAAGCTATAATAGTAGTTCGTGTGTGCAATTTTGGTCCTTCGAGATTAGGTTTATGCATTTCTAGTTTATTTTAATTGTTTCAGATATATTTAAAATTTTAAATAGTTTTTGTGGGAAAGATATTCCAACGCATAATTGTGTACATGTCTTTTAAATATTTCTTCAAATGTATGTATAATATTTCTATAGATGAATAAGTAGTGTTTATCTAAATGTGTTATAGATGTAAACATGTTTTTGTTTAATTAATTAATAATGTACCAATTAATTCAAATTATTTGTCTAGTTATATTTGTTTAATAATATTAATTATAAAGTTATTGTAACAAAATGATGCAAGACAAATTTTTAAAAAGCTAATAAATATAAAAAGGTATTTTGAAAATGTAGACAAGTTAGAAAAAGGAATATACTTGGAATATTCTATTTGGTGTAAAGAATAGGTTGGAGATGAATCACCATTTGCACCATTTTTTGTGCATAAAATGGTGTTATGAAGGGCTTTCACATAAAAATTTAGGATTCCTTAGTGCCCCAGTGAAATAAACAAACCAAAAAAATTCAAACTTCAAACTGATAAAGTAGTATTTATTTGAGATTTGAGATTTGAGATTTGAGATTTGAGATTTGAGAATTGAGAATTGAGAATTGAGAAGAGTATACACATACCTTACATCACCCTCTCGTTTGGTTCCTAAAGTTCTCAACTGAAATTCCTCTCTAATTTTGATCTCATCAAGCAGTTGGAAGTAGAATGGATATCTTTCCCAATCCTCTTTCACAAGGCACCCTGGTTCCCCAAGATGCAAACAATTACTGAATGCACATTTCAATGGTTCACTTTCTGAAAGGATCTTGCGAACCTGAAGAAAACAATCAAGTTCAAGAATCAAGATGATGAGTACTCAACATAATAAAAGGCGAATGGAACAACTTTTAGTGAAGGGTTTGAAGCCAAATTAGGACACACACACACACACCTCTGGGAAGCAGTGTGCAAGCGAATGTTTTGTTACTTTTAATAGACTCGGCTGATTAAAGCCAGGAGTATCTGCAACATATCCTCCTCCAGATAATGGAAGCAAGGAAACATGGCGAGTTGTGTGTTTTCCCCTGCCACTTCTTGCTGACACCTCTCCAACTCTTTGATCTTCAAGCCACTTGCTTCCTGAAATCTGGAACAAAATCTTAGTATTATGAAAACAAAAGAAAAACTAGATTGAATGAAATAGAAGCAGAGATGAGATTTACATGGTTTGAATTTGAAGAAGAATCATCCAGTTCTGCAGCAGTAAGACCAAAGTGATTGCTTCTCAAAGCATTGATCAAACTAGACTTTCCAACACCACTTGGACCCACGATTACTGTAGTCTGATCCCTCAAGTTGAACTGTAGAGAATCAAGTCCAGTTTTTGTCTCAACACTGCAAAAGATCGGTTCATAACCCCAACTACGAAGCTTGGATTTCCATGACACCACTGTCTGCAATAAGGAGGAAATCGTATCAAGTAACTTTTTCTGTTCAAGAGCTAATGCAGTCTTCTTACAGGGGATCTAACTGAGTTCCATTGTGGAACTACATGAATTCAAAATTTAACCTAATTTCATGAGATAATCGGATATTGATATGACTCATGAAACAGGAAAGTTAAGAAGTAATTAAGAATGTAGCAGATTATGAGATCATGATTTTAATGGATACCTCTTTGTCTACGAGCTCAGTCTTGTTCAAAGCAAGTGTGACTGGTATCTGCGTTGATTCGGCCTCCACTAGAAACCTAGTGAGTGAAAATTCCTCCAATTTCGGCTGATCTAAAGAGAAAAAAACTAGTAAATGATCTACATTCGCTACTGGAGGATCAAGTATCTCAGTTTCTCTTTGGAACACGTTTTCTATCATTCCTCTTCGACCAACCCAATCTATCGAACCTACCAACACCTTATCTCCTACTAATACTCTCCTCTTAATCTTCTTCAGCAAATTCCTTACCACACACAACAACTCAACTCCAAGTCCCTCCTCTTCCTCCGAAGACGAGGATTTCGCCGATTCAACCACCACGCGCATAAAATTGGCTTGAGCGGAGGCAACTTTTCCGATGGCTTGGTCCGGAGAGAGATGGAGCTTATCGGTGGAGGTGAGAGACGGTGATAGAGACGAGAAATGTTTAACGGCGTCGCGTGCTTTGAGTAGATGCTTGCTCGGCTGCTGGGATTTCCTCGAGACGTTTTCACGGTTTTGGTTTCTGGAGGCGGCGATAGAGAGTGAACGGAAGCTGGAGGCGCACCGGTGGACGGTGGTTGATATGAACGGCGTGGAGTGGTGGCGGAGGATCGAAGTTGAAACGGACGACATCTGAATTTGTTGGGGACTAGTGTGCTATCTGCGTTGCTTCAGTCTCTTCCGTCATCGGTGGAGGAAGATGCCGCTAGTGGCCTGGTGCCGGCTCTAGCAGTGATATGGTTATACAGACAACAGATAACGACGTCGTTTCGCTTAGGTTTAATCATATGCGTCCGAAGGGATTCACCTCGGTAAGCATTACCTAGGTATCGGCAAACACGGCACCACCGCCTCCACATGCCGAGTGTAAAGCCCCGACTCGGCAACTTTTTGCCACACTCACATCTCCCTCATCCATTAAAATTTTGACCGTTCATATTAACCAAAAAAAGTCAAAATTTTACCTACTTTTCAACTGATAACGTATCGCTTGGTATACGCCCAAAGAATAACGGAAATGACTTAGCAACAAGCCTTTGCGGCCACTGGGTCGCCAAGCCACCAGTATCCTTGATATATCTTCATCTAGCGTCCATCTGCCAGCGAGCCCGCGCGGCCTGGCCAACCATCGGTCTAGGTCGTCTTGCGATAAAAACAACGCCTTCAAACGACAAGAGTAATGCTCAAAGCATTACCGTTATTCTACATGAGCCAATCACAAGATCTGGTTAGGAAATGAGCACGATCCACCGATCAACGTTATTGTGTCATGTCAGATCTGACACCCTTGTTTCTCACACTGAGATCGATACCAAAGCCTTGCTATAAAGGCTCCTTACTCAAACTGGTAAAGGGATTGCACCCTCGTACTTTCTACTCTCACTACTATTTTCACCTCATGAGACTAATTAGACCATCAGATCATTTTCCTGAGATCCCCCATTGGAGAACGATTGACGTTGTTTCCTCTTCCTTGTGTGATAGCAGATCCCTTTGTAGCTATCGTCTCCTTAAAGACCACCTGGAGATAAGATATCACATCATTTGGTGTCTTTCGGTGTGTGACAATCGAAACAAAAACCATCAGAACCTGATCATCATAGATGACAATTGAGCCTAACGGTTGAAACCAATGAGGTGGCGCACAGCCCGATACGTTCCATGACATCACTAGTTACTGTCCTCACATCGACATCAACCACCAACAGTTCTTATATCGGCAACCCCAACCTTCGCTCAAGCAATTACAGTCAATCCGATCAGCCAATTGTGATAACCGATGTTAACCGTCTCCACAATGTCTCCACCAACCTTTTTCACCCTACATCCTATCGAAGTTTATTCTTCATTTTACAAACCAAGTGTATAGCCACCTCAACGCACCCGAACTGTTAAAGCCTTGCTATAAAGGCTCCTTACTCAAACTGGTAAAGGGATTGCACCCTCGTACTTTCTACTCTCACTACTATTTTCACCTCATGAGACTAATTAGACCATCGGATCATTTTCCTGAGATCCCCCATTGGAGAACGATTGACGTTGTTTCCTCTTCCTTGTGTGATAGCAGATCCCTTTGTAGCTATCGTCTCCTTAAAGACCACCTGGAGATAAGATATCACATCATTTGGTGTCATTCGGTGTGTGACAATCGAAACAAAAACCATCAGAACCTGATCATCATAGATGACAATTGAGCCTAACGGTTGAAACCAATGAGGTGACGCACAGCCCGATACGTTCCATGACATCACTAGTTACCGTCCTCACATCGACATCAACCACCAACAGTTCTTATATCGGCAACCCCAACCTTCGCTCAAGCAATTACAGTCAATCCGATCAGCTAATTGTGACAACTGATGTTAACCGTCTCCACAATGTCTCCACCAACCTTTTTCACCCTACATCCTATCGAAGTTTATTCTTCATTTTACAAACCAAGTGTATAGCCACCACAACGCACCCGAAAATAATCAAGCGATGTTTACCCGATAAAACTTCTAACCAATGATGCAAGCCACACCGTTATTCCAACCAATGCTCACCTTGTAAAACTCCCATATACCACCAATGACTAACGTATTCACTAACTCCACCTGGTGCCCTAGTCCCGAACTGTAACATCCCATTTAAAATAAAATAATTAAATAATAAATCTGGAACCCCGAAATGTAATTTTATTATTACTTTATATTTGTATTTTCCAAAATCAAATAATAATTAGTGGGGTGTTGGTTCGGGAAACCAATGACAAGATTGGAACCTCCGGGGGTTAAATTGTAATTTTGGGACTTATTTTGCAAAGGATTTTAGAAGTCAGGGGGTGTTTGGTATCTTTTGGACTTATTATGAAAGGGTTATGGATGGCTGGGGCTGTTTAGTAAACATTTCGGACTCGTTTTGCAAGGAATTTCAGATGGAAGGGTTTAAATGGTAAATTAAGGACTTGAATTGAAAGAAAGGAAGATGGAGGGGCTGATTTTGTTATTATGGAAAAATGTCTAAGAGGGTCGGGTATATAATCTCATTACCGTCTAACCCTAACCCTAGAACACTCAACCACACCACCCTTATACCCCCCCCTCTCATCTTCAACCGCCGCCACCACCTTCCATGGACGCTGACGAAGCTTGCTGCCATGCTGTTGAAGAGGAAGCTGCCGACGGGGACTCGAGCAGGTGCCTCTCCGCCGCTGTTTGTTCTCACGAGTTACCTGTTGCCTTGCCTTGAAGCGCCAACCGTAGCCGCCGGTGACGATGTGAGCGATCGGAAGAACTGTCATGAACACCGCCGCCGACGACGAAGAACCGCTAGTTGGCACCATCACATTACCGAGGCCGGAGGAGCAACCCCGTGGATGTCATGGTTGTTGTTCACGGTTGAAGAAGCATAAACCTCTCTCCTCTCCTCTCCGTTCTGTTCGCTGCTACGTCGCCGCCACCGCTACCTAGCGGCTGAAGAGTTGTTGTCGTTGCTGCCGCCTCAAGGACAGCCGTGGCGGGTGTGTATGCTGTTGTATGGTGTTAATTTCATGTATGTGTGTTGTGTGTGGGTGGTTGTCTTAGCCGGAATCATAAGAGGGCCACCACCACCACCGTGAGGTGGTGGCTGCCACCATCTGCCACCACCTGCCACCACAAGGGTGGTTGTGGGTGTGTGTTTAGTATGTTCTTTTGACTGTGTGTGTGTTCATTGTAATATTGTTTGTAATCATGCTGGAATAATCAATAGAAAAATCCATAACCACCACCGTGAGGTGGTGGCGGCCGCCACCAGCCGCCGTGTTGGGTGGCGGTGTACCTCGTTCGCGTTTTGACTCGTTTGAGATCTGTCACACCCCAAAACCGGAACGACGGAAACGTTCTGGGGTGGAGGACGTCATGTACAGTATCACAACAAAGCATAATAGTAAACAAGCAACCACATCCATTTCATTAATAGAATAATTTTAATACAAACGTGTTCTGTATAGTTTGGAAGACACCAAAAATGAATACTCAAAATAAAAGATGAGTCTTGTATGTGCTCCATCTTCTCAAAAGCTCCATCGGTACCTGACTACTGATGACCTGAGAATACAAGTTATTTTGAAAAGAGTTTATCAGCATAACGCTGGTGAGTTCATAAGTATTTTTAGTGTCATTGCTTGTAAGAATATGTTTGTAACAACGTAGTGTATGTTAGGGTGCAAAGTCACTCTTGGATGTAGTGTTTTAGGCTTACCCTCTTGTATGTGTAAATGGGTTGAGTCTTTCCTATAAATAGGAAGTGAGTGACTCCCATTATGTAAGGAACCATTTGGAGTGTTAGACTAGAGAGAGAAATTGTGTACAAACCCATTTGTATATCCTTTCTAGATCTAATATGAGCTTACACAGAATTATTTACTCCTTGTGTTCTTGATTTTACATGATGATTCACTAGATCTTTCTAATTCCGCACATGCCATCATAATCAACACCACTACAATTGGTATCAGAGCGGGCGTTCTTGATTTCATCAAGAATTGATCCATGGTGGCAATCTTGATTTGGTGATTCATTTTATGATCTTGGATCTTCGTGGTTTAGAGAGTTTTTGGATTCTAGAAATCGAATTCATCTTTGTTTCTATTCATAATTCGATTTTCTTCACTAGAATTCAAGTGATTTTTGCTTTCTCTCTCTAGAAAACCCATTCAAAATCACTTTCTCTCTCTAGAAATCTTCAAGTTTTTGTGATCATGGTGAATTTGCCTTACAATTCTTGGATTGTGATCGTTGAAGATATCAAATACAAAGTCAATAAAGATCAATATTATGGGTTGGTGTTAAAGAATTCGATATATTGGGAAACTATGGTTTCTTATGGAGGTTTGAAGGATGATCATGGAAACTTGATATTTCAACCACTTTGTGAGATCAAATGGTTGGCTGATATTACATGGTCCATATCATCACGTAGTAGTGATAAGATTGGAGAAGAAAAATATTTGTTCAGAAAGAAATATATTTCTCTTATTGAAGACCCAAATGATCTTCGTGCTCTTAAGGTTGTTGAAGTTGTTGACAATGGAGTACAATGTGATGTTCTTGATGTTCTTGAAGTTCATGATAAGAAGATTCAAGTTGATTCTCAAGATGAAAAAGTTTTTTGCTCGATTGGAGTTCAAACCAATGATATTTTGTGTTCTTGTGATTCGTTTGAAGGAATGATTCCTTATCGGAAGCCGGTGATCCAAGAAATTCACAAGTATCAAACTCTAAAAGATTTGATTCAAACTCATAAAGTTGAAGTTGTGGAAAGCGGGTTTGTTCATGAAATCAAGTCTTCAAGATGCAAAAAGATGAGAAAGAAAAAGATGAAGAAGATTAATCGGAAGAACAAGCGGGTTTATTCACAAAAATCGTCAAATGTTGTGAAGCCAAAATCCGTGAAGCAAATTTGGGTTCCAAAGCAACAATCTCCAAATGTTGCATTGAATTTGAAATCAAAACCCAAATGTGTTGATGGTTCTTTTGAATATGTTCTTGGATCGTTGAAGAACACGAAGAATATGAAGAACGATTTGTACATCTCGCATAGTGGGTTGTACAATGTTCAAATTGGAGATTTTCTCGTTCCAACAAAAGAACCAAGATCTTCTAAATTCGATTCGTTTGTTGAAAACGGAACTCGATTCGTCAAAAAGGTATCTCAAATTCTCAAATGGATTCCAAAACATCCATGATTTTGATTCGTATTTTTTGTTTTTCATTTTTGATCGATTTGCCTCATTGGATCTAAT